TCTTTTTATCAAATCATATGACAGGTTTCTCATAAAGGCACAGGTATAGCCAAAGGGCTTGGTAGTGGGTTTGCCTTCTTGATTATGGTAGAGAGGGAGGAGAAAGATTTTCACTGAATTAAGACCATTCCAAAATGGTTGGATGCAGAACAATTAAAAGAAAAAGAGTAGTAGAAAGGAGCTTCCTTCATCCTAAGGAATTTATAAATGATGGGAAGGCCAAAGCATAGAGATGGGGGAAATTAGCATAGTGTACTAGTGAAAAGACACAAAAAGGAAACTCAGCTCTCAAATGTCAGTACAAGGCACTAAGTAGCACCTTAATGCTCATGTCTTTCTCCTGTGTCCCACAAGAGAGGTTGTGACAGCACACTGGGTTGGGTAATCTCGAAATCACTGTGACCAGAGAAAACAGCATTGGATGAAAATAGAGGCCTGGTTTCAAGACTCTCCTTAGAAACCCGGGAGTCAGGGAAGCCTGGGGTGTGGGTTGGCAGCACTCCTGCTCTGGAGATGACATCACTGCTGGAGAAAGGCAGTGCTCACTCCTGGCACTCTGAGTCACTGCTCACCAATAACTCAGGGGAGTCTTGCATGGGAATCCCTCATTGTGGGGATTAGTGACCATCAAAACTAGTTTTCAGGTACTTGTGTTTGACTAAGGGGAGAAAGTAAAATTAAAACATCCTTGTAAATGGGAGTCACATGACAGAAGGCAGTACACAAGTCCTGCCATTAGAATCACATGGAAGGGCCCTCCTCCTGCTTCCCGCCACATTAGAGCCGAGCAAACTGAAGTGGTCAAATGCCAGCTACTCCAGTGTCAGGACTAGACTCTGGGCGCCTGAACCCMAATTCAGATACTCTTTCCATTGCATCGCCCTGCACCCATCTCCTGCCAGTTTCCAAGCTGTTAAATGTGGACACTCAGAGCCACATCCACCTAGATAGCAGTGACACTTTTCACCTTACCTAGACTTRCAGACGGCATAGACCCCAAGGGAGAAGTGGGGCCTGTGGGAGAGTAAGTTGGCTGCTTGTGTCATCCTGCAGAAAGACACAGTGGCACAACCAGCAAAACTGGTTCTGGGTGGAAGAACCCTGCAACAGCAGTTCTGCCAGAATCAGGCTGCAGGTGACACCCTGGAAGTCTGGGAGTAATCCCYAAACCTCAATGTGACTAATACTTTTAACACCTTCCCTGGGCAGATACTGTTCGAATAATTAAATTAACCTGAATGATTAGCATCTCACGTCCCCTCCTTTCCTCTGTCTGCTAGAGGAGACAGAAATAACTTGTAAGTCAGCCACAGAAGAAACAAGCAGAGTGTGTCCTGGAAAACTCTATGATCCTTATCTCYAGGTCTTGATTAAATGTATGTAGCAAGAGTATCAGATATTGGACTTTTTTTTTTTTTAAATAAAGGCACCAAAATGTGAATATCCAAGGAAAAGCTATCCTTCAGCATGGTCACCTTGGAAAAAGGCACAGTTTTCTCAAATGATGCTGCTATTGCTCAAAGCACATGTGTAGCATCTCTTCTGACACTGCCTGCTTCAAATTGGTTTACAAAACCTTGTGCAAAGAAAAACAATGACAACAATAAAACTCGGATCTCCTCCAGCTTGTGGCTGGGTCTTCACATGCAGATCCATCTTACTTCTGGGGTTTCTTTAAACACCTTCAGAGGTCAACATTTACGACTTTGGTAGGCATTCAAAGGATGCTGCAGCATCTCCTTCCAACCATGGTAACACGAGTGTGCCTCTGGCCTGCTGCCATTCACTGTGGTGCACTAAGGACTGGCAAGGGAGCCAGGGAATTCTGGTGGTACGCCTCACCCCTTTCTCTGAGCCACAGGCTAAACCAAGCCCCCCACCCTTGGTGTGTCACTACCTTCCCCAACACTGAAAGCCAGCAAACATCCAAGCTGTGTAYGTATTGTTTGGAGGTGACGTGGTAGAGCATAAAAACTCAAATGTCCAACAGGGCCATGCATGGAAAATTCTAGAAAAAAGAAGGCTAAGAAAAGCAATAAAGAACAGCCAGTCCCAATGAGTGCTGTGAAGGTTATTCTCCTTGCAAACACTCTGGCCAGAATCTTTAATTACCAAAATAGTCTAGAATCTGGATTTAAATTTTTTTTCTTTATTATTAAATGTGGACAAAAATGTTAAAATTTGAAATATAAGTACATAAATGTATAATATACCCACATTTGTTCTGTGGCCCACACAAGGCAGAAATCGCAGGTTTATGTCCTTTGACCACACAAGCCAAAAGCATCATGTGACACTGAATGGGACCCCAGTCCTGAAACCTACAAAGATTTCTGGGTGGATGTCATCAATAGGAATTTGAAATAAAATATAACTGCTTCTGAAAAGAAGTCTACAATATGGAAATTACAAATCATTCCACTGTGAGATGACACTTTGTATTTTTTCTTGGTACTGCTGATTGAACCCAGGAGTGCTCTATCACTGGCTCCATTCCCCAGCCCTTTTTATTTTTTGAGACAGGGTCTCCTCAATTTGTCCAGGCTGRCCTCACAGTCTCCTGAGTAGCTGATATTACAGCACGTGCCACTGTGCCTGGCTGACACCTTTTGCTGGCTTTGTTCAAAAACCTTTTTTTGAACCACCATCCTATTTTTTTTCCAGCCTGATCATTATAAAATCAATAATATCTTAAAGAAGTGCCCTAGGCTCTGCAGCCTCTCTCATAAAGTAGATTTAACTATCACAGCTTTCTTTAAAGGCCCTTCCATAGTTTGGAGAAAACCAACGGGAACTATTTTTTATTACTTATCGATTAACCCAGACCTAATACAATCACAACCACCAAACAATAGTCACTTAAAAATAGACATTAAAGAAATAAAACAAATTTTGCTACAGTGAGCATTATAAAATATCCTTCAAGATCACTTATCAAAGCATATGTAAACTTAAACTTGACCATCTGGAACAACACACATAGGCACACCAACATGCACATGTATATTTGTGTACACATGTGTAAACACACATTTAGACAAGAAAGAGCTCCTGCACATGGCCAGTAAGTGGTATGGAGTGAACTGGACTGAAAGGTCAACTCAGGCCCAAGTCAACTATCTCACTGGTCTACCTCAGAGCTGTCCCTTCCAAATTAGGCATTTTCTTTAAAAGGTCCCTACTGACACATAACACTTAACACATTCACCTACTAGCACTGCTTATCACAGATTGCATGATCATGAAAATTACAGTGATGATTAGAGCTCCTATTTATAGCTTGCTCTAACACTGATAAATACTTGCAGTGACATGATCACATTGTCTTCCCAGTGACCCCTGAGATGGCCCTGCTTCCCTGGCTCACACCGYCAGACAGTGTGGTTCCCTTGCCTTCCTCCCTAGAGCACTGGATCASCATGCATTGTACCCTCAGCATGATGCTTGGTACAACAGAGACATTTGGAAATGTCTATTTTGTTTCAAATTCAGGAAAGGAGGCCCAGATAATTTCGATTGACTTGCTAAGGATTCTAGTCCCTTCTGGAGGTGTGCCATCACAAAGACTGCCCCTGGTTGTCCAGTCCCATCATCCAGCTTCCAAGAGAATGGGCACAAAGAGAAAGGGCAGGYACTGTTGCAGTGAGTAGGGGTTGGACAGGAGCCAGAGAGGGTGCAGACGGACCTGCACAAGGCCAGAGGTGGAGTTCTTGGGACTGGGAGGGGCAGGAAAAATGGTGCTCAGGAAGCCAAGGATGTTAGTGCAGTGCAGAGAGCACACGGGAACTTCCAGTGCAGGGGCCACGGGCCTCACATACCCACTCTCCCTGCACTTCAGGATGGCACCTGATCTTGTCCATGCAAGGTCTGCTTCCTTCCCTGGGAGGCCCTAATCCCTTGGAAGATTCTCAAGGCTATGCTGACATTCTGTCACTATGTGCCCATTTGGGTCACCTTTCTTGAGCCTAAAGCCAATTTCAACTACATTGTTTTCCTCATGAGTGACATGGGACACTGAGCAATTCATCTTCCTCTGGAAGTCATGCTGCAAACTCCCAGCCAGTTTCCTTTCTCACCCAGCCTGCCCCTGCCCGAGGACAATACGGCATTGACAGGAGTTGTTGACATTGACCTTCTCGTGAGTTTGAAGACAAAGTCTTCTAACACTCACCTGGGTGGTACAGAATTGAAGCAGAAAACACGCTTAGATTTCATCCGGAACCTTCCCTTAAGTACAAAATAAGGGTAAAGGATCAGAAGCTAAGACACTCAGAGTGGGCTTGGCAGAACTGTTTGGAGCTCTCCTAACATCAGAGACTTGGGGCTCGAAAGCAAACTTCCATATGTTTGCTTTCTTGTCCACAATAGGCAATGGTGGGCATCTGTCCTTGGTGTACCTCTGGCTGCCAAGGTGTTACCCTTGTGCTTCTTAAACACACTGGTCCCCAGAGGAACAGACAAARGTCAAACAGCCAGCAAAAGAAGTGGTTCAAATTCATGGTGGGGGCATTACCCAGTCATGAAGCTCACAGCCCTGCCGTCCTGCTTCCTGACCCCTCCCTTTCCCAGCCAAAGACATTYGCTCTGGGCCCTGCCCTGCCTTGGGAGGCTTCATGGAAAAGCCTGAGATGGGGTTTGAGGGTTCTGCAGTGCAGGAAGGAAAGGTTTTCTGGACTATCTTCCTTAGCTCYAAGTTCTCAGATGGAGCGTGTGGCCTGAAGGACCTGGGAGGGGTGTCAGCTTGACTCATCACCACCTATGGGAGGCCACAGAGCAGAGATAAACCCCCTCATCTCCCCTCACCCCAAAATCAGCACTGAGCAGTATATAATTGAAAATGTGTGACCTTGGAGAAAAAGACAATAGGTTCATTTCCTTTTTTTCTGGCTCAAGTTAATAGGAAGCTACTTGTACAGCATTTAGAGAAAGAATCTTGTGCTGAGGGCAGGCATGTGAATTGAAAAGCATAAACGATGAACCAATGCTAAGAATTCACTCACCTTTGCCTCTTCGTTCACATCCCAGGTAAAGGAAACAGCATTATAGGCGATCTCTTCAATGTTGCCAATCGTATTGAAGCTTTCTTTGTAATCAGCTGTAAGAATAAAAAAGAAAAAGTTTTCAAAAGAGTAAAAATTACTTGGTGGTATGTGTTTTCCAATGGGTAAATTTAAAGTTTATCGATTTTTCTGTCCATCTCTATGGCAACAGTTAAGGATAGGTGCTTACTGGTATTCTTTGGTTAACATTTACCTATGTAAATAAGAACATAAGCATGCTTCTCTATTAAAAGAGAAAAATCTAAGTGAAGCAATGCCCTTATCTGATTTATCAGTTTCACTTTTTACTAGGTTTAAATTATTTAGGTGTTTTTCTCTCCTGATTCTGCCTGTATTCTTTCCTATCACTTAAATTTGCTAGAAATGCCAGAGTATTCCATAGAAATATTTTCTAAAACAGAATATTCTGTATATCAGTTAGGTACTGTCACTTACTTTAGCAAAGAAATTGCAGAAAAGTTGAATGTTCAAAACTTGTTTTTTGTTTGTTTGTTTGTTTGTTTTTGATATACGGGATCAAACCCAGGGCCTCATACATGCTAAGCACAAAGACTACAACTGAGCTGCGTCCCCAGTCCAAGGGAAAACACCTTCCGGGCTCAGGTATAGAGAGTTGAGTTTCTAATACCCAGTTCACAATCAAYGGCTGACCAGTCAAGGCTTTCTATTACTGTATTTCTTTACTTATATAAAGAAAGAAATCTCTTTACTTATGTAGAGAAATCATCCTGCTGGGTGCAGTGGCACATGCCTGTAAATCCCAGTGGCTCAGGAGGCTGAGGCAGGATGATTTCAAGTTCAAAACTAGCCTCAGCAGCTAAGTGAGGCACTCAGCAACTCAGTGAGACTCTGTCTCTAAATAAACTACCAAAAAGGGGTGAAATGTGGCTCAGTGGTGTCCCYGARTTCAATTCCTGGTTCCAATAAAAAAAAGAAGAAGAAGAAATCATCCCCATTAACCTCCCCTATAAAYACAAAAGCTACCAAAGTGCTTGATATGCATTCTTACGAAACATGTTAGGTTRACTTGCTTGTATATGTAACTTAATTGTTGATAAGTTGTGTTATGCTATGGCTAAGGCTGCCAGGTTTGGCAAATATTTGGGACATACTTATCCTAAAAAAAACCCTGGCTGCTTTTATCAAAACACAAATTTAACCAGGCACCCTGTATCTTAGGTTACAACCCTCACTTTGGACCTCTTCTGAACCAACCACATTGCAGGTTGCAAGACTATTTCTAACTGTGGCTGCAAAGAACAATATGGCAACCATCAGCACGGTTTATTTATCCCCTCTCTCCAGAGACGCACCCTTCACTAGTCTCTGCTCTTGCAGACAACACTGCAATAGAAGTTCTTATTCCTGGAGACTGAATTGATGGTTAACTTCAGAAAAACCTACCAATTGTGCTCTCCAGAATGACCTTCCAGACTCTCTCCAAAATAGGTTGGCCAATCTAACCTCACAATTTAACCTCACAATTCTCTTTCCCTTTCTTTAGCTAATCTGATGGGTGTAGAGTGGAATCCCCTTGATGTTATATTTAAATTTCTTTTTATGGGTCCAGGCAGGTCCTCACATACAGGCTAGCCAACTGAATGTCTCCTTGTATAAACTGCTCACTCCTGTTATTTGGCCGTATTCCTAATCACCTCCCCTAGAAAAACTACATAGATTTACTCCTTCCTTCCTTCCTTCCTTCCTTCCTTCCTTCCTTCCTTCCTTCCTTCCTTCCCTCCCTCCATCCCTCCCTCCCTTCCTCCTTTCTCCCTCCTTCCCTCCCTCCTTCCTTCCTTCCTTCCTTCCTTCCTTCCTTCCTTCCTTCCTTCCTTCCGGATTGAACCCAAGGGCACTTTACACTTTACCACTAAGCTACATACCCCAGTCCTTTTAAAATTGTTTTAATTTTGAGACAGTGTCTTGCTAAGTTACTGAGGCTAGCTTTGAATTTGCAATCCTCCCGCCTCAGCCCCCGGAACTGCTGGGATGACAGGCATGTGCCCCCGTGCTCAGCTATATCTTTACATTTTAAACAAAGTACACAAACAAATGATAAAAGCATGTGTGTTCACCATAAAAAAATCAGAAGCTATGAACAAATAACAAAAATACTTAAAAGCAACCACAATGTACTCATTCACAATAACCACCTTTAAATACATCTGTGTACATTTTATCTTTCCTCTCTTTCTCCCTTTCTCAGAATACGTAATATTTCTACAATTATTTTTTAATTAACTCGTAGCCATTGTTGTTACTTAGCACATCTTTAGCATATTCCCATGTTAATAAACTGGTGTAAAAGTACTGTTGAGGCATCTCTAGCAATTAGAGAAATGCAAATTAAGACTACACTGAGATTTCATCTCACTCCAGCCAGAATGGCCATTATCAAGAATACAAGCAACAATAAATGTTGGTGAGGATGTGAGGAAAAAAGGTACACTCATACATTATGGGTGCACTCATACACTGGTGCAACCACTAGGAAAGCAGTATGGAAATTTGTCAGAAAACTTGAAATGGAACCACCATTTGACTCAGTTATTTTATTCCTTGGCTTATACCCAAAGGACTAAAACTCAGCATACTACAGTAATAGAGCCACATCAATGTTTATAGSTGCTCAATTCACAATAGCTAACCCATGGAACCATCCTAGGGGCCCTTCAACAGATGAATGGTTACAAAAGCGTGGTATATATACACAATGGAATATTATTCAGCCATAAAGAGAAATGAAATTATGCATTTGCCAGTAAATGGATGGAACTGGAGAGTATCATACTAAGTGAAATAAGTCAATCCCAAAACACCAAAGACCGAATGTTTTCTCTGATATGCGGATGCTAACTCACAATAAGGGGGGAGTGGGGGTAGAGTAGAATAGAAATACTTTGTATTAGACAAATGGGAATGAAGGGAAGGAAGGGAGGATGGAAATAGGAAAGATAGCAGAATGAATCAGACATACTTTTCTATGTGCATATCTGATTACATGACCAATGTAATTCTATATCATGTACAACCAGAAGAATGAGAAGTTATACTCCATATATGTATAATATGACAAAACACATTCTACTATCATGCATAATTAATAAGAAAAAATTAAAATATTGGGAAAAAAAGAAAAAAAAATCACTGTTAAGGGCTAAGTACCATCATATTAGATCTTGTGGCACAACTTTATTTTGCTCTTGTTGGTCATTAGATAACATAGCAGTTTGCTATCTCAAATACCATTTCATTTAATTATCTTTACAGCTAAAATTTTATATGTACTTCATTATATTTTATTAAGATATATTCCCGGGGTCTGGGGGTGTAACTCAGAGGTTGAGCACCTTAAGTTCAATCTCCTGGATTGATAAATAAATAAATAAATAAATAAATAAAAAAGCGAAGATATATTCTCAGAAGTGAAAGTAATAGGCCAAAGAGCAATATATTTTAAGAACTAATTGATTTTGTCAAATTGTTCCTAAAAAGGTTGAAACAGTTAATATTCACAATAACAGTTCTTTTTTTCCTTTTTAAATTGACATGCAAAACCTGCCACCTTATYATTTTAATCGGTAATTCCTTGATTGCTAAAGAGGTTGAATAGTTTTCATTTGGTTTCTGGCTGTTGGCATTTCTTTTTATTCTTTCTCTTAGTTTTTAAAATGTATTCACTTATATAACTGTTTCCAGTTCTATTGTTTGCACATTTTTTTCTCTTAGGATATTCAAATTTTCTTACTGACTTTAAAATAAATATTTAAAGCTAAAAGAGAAAACAAAAAGCARAGAAAAACAATTTTATAGTCTACAAATTTAGATTAAGGCATTTATGACTTTATATGAGATGGTTTTAAACGCACACCTGTGCTTTCGGCTGGCCAACAATCTCTTAAAATTATGAAGAGAGAAATAGAGCACTGAATTTGAATAAGAAATTGAATTCCTGGATTCTTTATAACTGGCTTAAAAGATTGTGTTACAATTTTGTTTGAGTTTTTAATCAGCATTTTTAAAAACAGTTTATACGTCAACTGTAAATACGAAAGCAAATGTCATATCTAGAAACTAAGACAAACCAAGGTGCTTAGGTCAAACACGTATTCTAGATGTCACAAGCTATTTGTTGGGTTATAGGGCTTTAGTTTTTTCATAGCTTCTCTCACTGAAAATTTTCTCCAATAAAGAATGTGCACTGAAGAATGACTACGACATTTGCTGGTAAAAGGATGGATCTGGAGAACATCATGCTAAGGGAAATAGGCCAATCCCTAAAAACAAAGGTCAAGTGCTTTTGCTGATACGTGGAAGCTAAACCACAATCAAGGGGAAGAAAGGGAAGAAGAGAAGTTCGTAGATTAGAGAAAGGGGAACGGAAAGGAAGTGAGGTGGGGATGGGAATGGGAAAGACAGTGGAATAAATCTAACATAATTTTCCTATGAACACATATGAAAATACCTAAGGGAACCCCACCATGGTGCCCACCCACAAGAATGGGGTGGGTCTTAATTAGAATAAAATATATCCTATGCCTGTATAATTTTATTCAAATGGATTCTATTATCATGTATAACTAAGAAGAACCAACATGATAAAAAATTTTTTTAAATGTGTCATCTGAAAAAGGAAAAACATTTTCAGAAACAGGTGTAATAAAAACAAAAACAAAACCCTTACTAGGTCCCTCAGTCAGGCAGAGATCCCCTCTCTTCGTCAATCAACATTTGTAACAAATGCTCAAGATGAGCCCCTGGCTTCCAGGCGTTGTCCTCAGACGGAGGAACAGCAGAAAACAAGACTAGGTCCCCTACAGGGTGGCTCTTTCAGTCCAGAAGGAGCCAGAATATAAATCGGTAAATACATAAATGAACAAGACAATTAGACAAATATCTTTAATATGCTTTTTTTAATGCCCAAAACAAAAGGGTGGGTAAGACTATGTTTTACTGGTTTTATTACCTTGTTTATTTCCCTCACAGCATGTGCGAGTACTTCATTTATTTGTTTACCATTTTTCACCAGCACTTC